CACTCCCTGCATTAGCCCAATCGCCACAGGTGCCCTCCTAGACAAAAATCTAGATGTGAACAAGAAGAACTACAGAATGAGAAAGAATGTGAAAAACACAAGCAGAAAGAAAAAAAAAAAAAAAGCTGATGTTTATTCAGTTCACATTCCATCTAAAACTTGCAGGGATGAAATAAGGATAGAAACTGGCATTACAGCTTAGAGAAAGTTGTTCCTCTAGGATGCATTAATCACTAAATCCAGAGATGAAAAGGCCACCTAGCCATTTATTTCTTCTTCAAGATAAGCCAAAAACATAGCCTATGGTTTCCTTTCTAAAGTACATAAAGTATTTATCATGCCCTGAATAAAACCACATGTCACAATAATTCACATTGTATGGACAAGACAGAGGTTAAAAGTTTTAAAGATTAAACTAGAGTAAGTATGCTTCATTAAACCCTACTTTTTGATTTTTTGTTTAACAATTAAGCACTGTAAGGAAGGGAAATTTTAGAGGCATATGATAGTTGAGCTCTACACTAAAAATCAGGGCCTGCAGAATATCCCAAACATCACTACCAGTCATTGTTAAATGGCAACTCCTGGTTAAATAAAAGCACATATTCATTTTTAATAAGAGTGAATCTGTACATTGGTACAGTGCTTCACAGTTTGCAAAATTTAATGCATATAATTCTTATAACTTTATTAAATGCAGCACACATATTATCCTCACTTGTAGAAAAGGAAACAGGCCCCAGAGATACTAGATTACTAGCTAAAAGTCTTATACATTATTAGTGGTAAACTATCAGATCATATATTTGTTTTAAAAACATGTGTTTAGCACATATATGTACCAAGTACTACTGCGAACCAGAGATACAAAGGTAAGGAAGGTCTTTGTCTTCCAGGAGTTCAAAGTTTACCCATTTGTTTTAAAAACATGTGTTTAGCACATATATGTACCAAGTACGACTGCGAACCAGAGATACAAAGGTAAGGAAGGTCTTTGTCTTCCAGGAGTTCAAAGTTTACCAAGGAATATAAAAGAAACACATATAAAACTCTAAAGTAATATAGACTTTGACATATCCCCCAAAAGGCTTCCAAAATGGCATGGAGATGAGACTGACAGGAGGGAGAAATCAACACGAGAGATTATTTGAGTTAATTTTCTACTGACCATGAAGTCAGAAAGAGTAGAAAATGGAACGTACTTATTCTTGTTGCTCCACGGAGCCTAGAACACTCTGCAAATGTTGGTTGGAAGAAATGAATAAATGATTGCAGTAAGCTGTCTGTTGCCTGTATTTCCTTTGTAGGATATTCATTTCTAAAATAATTACTGTACACTCTAGGAACAAGGAGCAGAACAAAAAGTTACTGGACTATGGAGAAATGAGAATGATGACTATAGTTGCATTAGATATCTCTTAAATTGATATTCAGCCTTTCAATCCTTCTCCATGTAATAATTCAGTATGAGTGTCATAATGTCCATGGTAACTGGCACCACAGAAATTTGCCATACACTTTATCAAATGGCATGTAGGAGATCACCAGTCCACAATGACTGCCCATTTGGCAGCACAGATTCCAGAGGAGATTTGAAGAATCTGGGATGGATATTTTTGCAAAGCACTGCCAGGCATTTAAAGAGTTTTATTGGGTCTATAAACCCTTGTGTTACTCATTTAGTCCACAAACCTGGTGTGCACAGAGGGGTTACCTGAGGCTTTTAAGAGGGAATGCCAGCTAATGGCTATTAAATCCACCACCTGCAGAATCACTTTGGAAAGTCAGCCTGTTTCATCTCACTCAAGACACAAGTGCCCCATCTTTTCATTAGACAAGCATGGAATCTGATCTGACTGGTCATTTAAGGACACGAGATGTATGGACTAAAAAAATCATCTCCACTACCTGTGAAGGCTGAAGGCAATGCTTTTATCTACATGATCATTAACATGCACAGTGTTTTTTTCTAGGAGAGGTAATAGTTTTCCTTTAGGTCATCCACATCTTCTGGTTTTTTGGCCTCACACAGAGCGGCCCTGACTTAAGACAAACTGCATTGTCTGTGGAAAGTTACTGGACTTGCAGATGGATTGGATACATTATACACTATGTAAAACCTGAGCTGATCAACATGTAAGCCATACAACAAATATCTAATAAGCACCTACCAAAAAGTAATAGTCATAAACTAAGTTCATATGGTGGGGTATGTGACCTTTAAGTAAGCACTAAAATCTGTGTTCAACATAAGTTCTTCATTTACTGTTTTTATATTGTTTCCTTTAAGGAGTACATTTTCATAAAGAAGGTGGGAGTGTAGAGAAGGAACTTTTTACTGCTGACTCAGCAAAATGTTTAAAATCTCAGTCCAGTAAGGAGGTCCTGAGAGGCTCACAGCTGGCTTCTGCTTAGTGCAGTTACAGAATGCAAACTAGCACATCAGTCAGAGTCTGCTTAAAAGTTTCCATGTCTGGCTTGCAACGCTTAAAAGGAGTAATATCTCTTTTGCAAACTTTCAGCCCCAAAGACCTAGGTCAATAGCTCAACATCTGGTCCAGTCATTGTTGACCCACTGTTAACATTAAAACCTAAATTAAATAATTTCTCCCAATTGCTTTTATGAGGCTTTATATGTCCCCAAGGACAAGGAGAGGACACTCTGATTTTTAGGCCACAAAGACAATTTTTAAATTTTAAGTAGAAAGCACTACTATAAACAGAACTTAAAAATTCATGGTCATGGGAAGTTTGACTTTCTGAAATTTCTCAACATATAAGAAGTATATGAAGAAAGTAAAAAGGAAGTAATTACTTACCTAGTTTGTTTTGTTTTTCTTACCTACTTTGTTTTTCAGTTTAGCATCACATAGGCATACCAAACACATTCCTCAAAGGCAAATACCTTAATCTCAGTGATTAAAGTCTATAAGTGCCTCAAGCAATGCCATCTGGTAATCAGTGGCTTTAAATACTCTCAACTGGCCCCTATTATCTGAATCAGTGGTGGAGTAGAGGGAGGGGTAGAAGAAAGTTATTTAATTTGTTGAACGCCTATCTGGATCCCCTGATGTGTGACTAACCTAATAGACATGAATAGGAATCTGAGATTCTGATTTGTGTTGGGGGCTGGGGGTCATTGCCATATTTGATGTGTTTGCTTAACTGATCCAGTCCACAGAGTTTGTGACTAGTAACCATAAAACCGCAGTGTAGACAGCAAAAAGTGCATAGTACTAGAAATTAGATGACATAGTTCCAAAACTTTTTACTTGTTTACTTTGTGTGTCCTTGGTCAGGACATCCTAAGAACTTCATTGCCTTGTAAGACATATAACTATATTACAGTTCTGGTCACCTATCTCACATGAGTATTATGGGATATAGCAAAGTATATCAAACTGTAAAGCTATATAGCAATGTAAGAGATTATTACAATTGTAAGGAAAATTTTTAAAAATTAATGTAGCATCTTCCTTCAGAAAAACCCTATGGATAAAAATACTGGATTTTCTATTTTGCATCATTTATAGCCACTACACTAAATCTTTTGGCCTTAATTCAAAGGAATGGTTCCTATTTTACATTGGCATAGTTACTGTTCCCTTTTAGGGGTAAGAGGGATTCCAGCATGCCGATTATTCATAGAAACAAGAAGTACAAGAAGGCAGTGAACATTTTCCCCTAGAGCCCACATTTTGAAGAAAACTGGTGAGTCTTTAAGTTTGTTTTTCACTCATAAAAGAAGACTTTGGTAGGAAGCCACACCAAGAAAGAAGTTCAATCGATTTTAATGCTGAGAATGAAGACAGATAGATCTTTTTATTTGAAATGTAACCATTAGAGTCCCTAGAGCCCACATTTTGAAGAAAACTGGTGAGTCTTTAAGTTTGTTTTTCATTCATAAAAGAAGACTTTGGTAGGAAGCCACACCAAGAAAGAAGTTCAGTCGATTTTAATGCTGAGAATGAAGACAGATAGATCTTTTTATTTGAAATGTAACCATTAGAGATTGTCATTAATGTGTTTTCCTAAAATCAACTTCAGTTGCAGAACAGAGTAAGATACATGACCTATTATTAAAGGGTTGTAAGAGAGTAAGTATAGACAAGTGCTTGGAAATATAAGGAGTGAAACAGAATTCTAAAATCACTTCTATATTATCATTATTATAAAAAAAAGTGTGCGTGTGTTAAGATGTAGCAATAGACCTATCACATTTCTAAATGGTTACAGTAAGATCTCATATGAGATCCTCCAAAAACCAAAGCAACAAATCAAAATTAAGGAATTAGGGTCTTTAACATCCGGAAAACCTACTGATGAATGGAGATGTTGAGACCGCAGAGTGGTGAGTGGAAAGGTATTGACTTATTATAGGTAATACATAGCTCTTGGCATCTTTTTGTTGTCCTTGAACTAGTAGTTTATACTGATGGAAGAAAGAATGCCAGAATGCAGATAGTCTCTGAGAGCTTGGCACAATTTCATTATACAGGAATTTCCTATTTTTTTTCATTGTCCAGCTTTATTGAGGTATAATTAACTAATAGAAATTGTATATAGTTAAAGTGTACAACATGATGTTTTAATATTTGTATACATTGTGAAACAATTGCCACACTCATGCTAATTACCATCACCTCCCACAGTTACCTCTATTAAGCCCTTATACTGTTCCTGATATCAACCAAGTGTTTATATATCATGACTAGGAATGATAATGAGAGAAGGGACAGTGAACCCTGAGCCAACAGGCTCCTCAGCCCTGTCTCCCAGACTCAGATGAAGGAGCCTGGAGCCACAGGGTGACTTGGACTCTGAGCTGAAAGACAGCACAGAGGTGACCCAGTCTGACCTTCTCATGGGGACAATGCAGCTCAGGAATGAATGGGGTGAGATCAGGAGGTTTGCTCATGGTTCTTGAGAGTCAATAGCAAAATCAGAGATAAAATCAAGTTTTCTGACCTTCACAGAAATGTTCTTTCCACTGTACTCACAGTTTCCCTTTTAGTTCTCCAGCAACTGCAGGAAGAGGAAGAAATAGATCTAATTCATTTGACTGCTAAGGCAGCAAACTCATTTTGAAGGAATAGGAGAAAACAAAAACAAAAACAAACAAATTATGCTTTGAAGCCAAAAAAGCCCAGCTTTGAATTCCACTTTTATCAACTACTGGCAAAATACTAAGCCTCTATGATCCTTACTTGCTTAAGTTTTAACTAGGATAAAACATATGCATATATTCTGTTCTTAGTTTGTAGGACAGTATTTTGCATTTACTAAATTCTCAGTAAATGACAGTACCTAAGGGAGGCATGATGACTTAAATCTGTGGCTTTATAAATACTCCGAATCAATTTCTTCACATATGTTTGCATCTACACTGCCACTGGGCTCTCCAGGCTGTGGGCGACCTTCTTTAGGGATGAGGAACTCACCACCCATTGGATTGGACTTGACTGTGTTGAGCTGTAACCCTGTGAAATGCTCCCATTTATACTGGTTCTGACTTCTCTATCCATTTCTAAAAATTCCCATCTCATTTCCACCTTATGGTCTTTCCAGAACATGACAATAGCTCTCCAATCCCCATGTCATCCCTCCTCCAGTTTAAACTTTCCCATTTCTTAAAGTTCAATGAATTCCTTGTCTTTTTCTCATTGGCAACTTTTATGACTTGTGTTTATTGTACACTGTAGGACCAAGGAATGCCAATGATGACACAATTTAGGATCTCATCTAACCACTGACACTTGGAGGGTAGTCATTTGATACACTTTTTTTCATCCTGTCCAAAGACGATCCAAAAAATTTGTACAAATAACCTGCTGAAATTTGGACCTTTATTTGTAACATTCCTCTCATTTACTCTTCTAGGTTTACAATTACTAAACCAACTTCAGCTAGAGAAGATATTCCTTTTGTAATTTATGGAAGTTAGCAAAATTACTGAGTACAGGTCAAGGTCAACCACTTAAATGCTGAAAAAAAAGGTCATAAGAGTTGCCAGCCTTTATCTACGTCCAGTAAAAATTTTCCAGAAAGAGGGCCAGCCCGGTGGCGCACTGGAGAGTGCGCCGCTTGGGAGCGCGGCGGCGCTCCCGCCGAGGGTTCGGATCCCATGTGGAGACTGGTTCCCGCTCACTGGCTGAGCGCAGTGCAGACGCAACACCGAGGGTTGCGATCCTGTTACCGGTCAGTAAAAAAAGACAAAAAGGAGAAAAAAAAAATTTTTTTTCCAGAAAGAAATGAGACCCAGTCAACTGAATTATTTCATAATTCAAATAATACAGACGATGTAGGTGGTCTAAGTGCATCAGGATACAGACTGAAAATCACAAGAATGACTTCATAAAAGCAAATGTCATTTGTGGTAAGTTTCTCTTTCTGAAACTAGAACAGTCAAATCTGCAGAAGAGCAATTATAAAGCATGAGTATTGCTTCTTGATAATCGTGAAAAACAACATTATTTCCTCTGAATTCAATTATGCTTGGTATCTATTGCCTGACTTGTTGCACATCCTTCTGTGATTATCAGCGTAGGAGCTGGTGAAGTTCTGTGCAGCTTATTCCCATTTTAGAAATTCCTAGACAGGATATAATCATTAGTTCATTGCTAAAAACTGCCCTACTGATATCTTGATAATCTACATAAATTCATGTCCATTCTACCATAGAACAATATGGGCAATACAAAAAATAGAATGTGACTTTTTTCCCCATAAAATGTCTGCTAGCTATGAAACCCAAACTTTGAAATTATAATCTGCCCATAAGATAACGTTATTTTTTTTTCAGCATGCACATATTTAACTTAATAGAATATAATGGAGGAGAAGACATACCTTTTTAAAAAAAATTTTTTGCAGCAAATTTTCTAGCAAATTTGCCTTAAAATCAATCTTTTGTTACTAAAATAACAGTTTTAGAATGTTATATTGAATTCCAGGGAGAAAACAAAAGAAAATAACACAGAAATGTAATGCTTTCCTGAACTTCCCAAGGAATAATAAATGCTTTGCAAATAGGTATAAAATGAAAGGGAAATTGTCACTTCTTATTTTATTTTTAGTTAACATACTGCACATACAAGCAGGGTCAAACAAGTGGTTTTTAAGTAAAGCAAAACAAAAGCACAAACAAAAGAATGAATAGGTGCCCAACTATATTCCCAAGATATTTTGAAAATCATCAGCCAATTCTTCTTCAGTGTTTGTTAGAAGTAGAAGCTATTCCCCAGATGCTCACTGCCTCCTCACCGCACTCTGTAATCCTAACACATGACATATTAGCTGCGGCTCAACCAGATGTGAAATGGGAGAAGTTTTACAGTACAGAGAAATTAGCATGGTGGAATGATGCAGAAACTTTCAGCCAAGGCGCAGTCCCTCGGCTCTCAATTCCCTTTCAGCTGCCACAGTTCTTCCTACAACACACTGCACACAGAATATAGGTTAACGTTTGCCCCCCTGTGGTCCCAATAAGAATTCTAAGACATTAGCACATTATATTTCACTCAGAACTGGAGCATGAAACTCCTCATCAAGGACTCTTGATTAATTCTGCAAAAGCACACATTTATCAATAGAGCAGACACCAACAACTTCCAAAAATAATATTGTAAGGTAGTTTATAATAAAAATATATATAACCAGAAAATGTAGTGTTAGAAGGAAGGACAAAAAGAAGTCATATGGGAGAGAGTGATTGCACCTGGAAAGTGAATCAGGATCCATCCATCCATTCCATAAATATGGAGTAAACTCCTACTAAGTATCAAGTGAGGCTCTTGTCACTATCACTTAGTGGAAAACAAAAGAGAGCCTCTGTTCTCAAAGATGTCGATAAAGTGAAGATATGTAATAACTAAGAAAACTATTAAATCACTAAGATTACCGTAGATATAATTTTTCACTATAAAAATTAAAATGGGATAATGGGATAGAGTAATTCAGGGAAGAGGAGATTCCTTTACACAGGGTGACCAGGAAGTCCCCCTGAGGAAGTAACATTTGAGCTGAGGACTCCATAACAAAGTCAGGAGAGAGCAGATTTGGAGGAAGCAGATTTGGAGGAAGGTGTTCAAGGCAAAGAGAAAAGCAAGTGAAAAGGTGATTGGAAGAGGCCCGTTGGCATCTTGGAGGAAAAAAATAATGGTAGATTGCATGGGCCCTAACGTAAAGGAAGGCTGGATAAGCAGCCAGGGCCCAGATCATCTAAGGCATTGTAAGCCAGTGTAAAAAGCTTAGATTTTTTTCTAAATGATGAGAGAATTAATGCAATTGGGCTTTATACTCAGATCTGAGCTTCCTGGTAACTGAGATCTCTAAACTTATTTCTCTCTCAGCAAGAAAAAATAGGGCTGTCATTATTTAAAAAAAAAAGACACCTAAAAATAAATTAATGAATAAATTCAAATTTCCTTCTTCCCATTAACCTGTGTTCTTGTCACAGAATCTTATGCTCTCTTCCTCCCCTCAAAGTCTTTCATATATTCTAGTTCTAATTATAGCAGAGAGAGAGAAAAACAGAGAAAGAGAGAGAATAAGAACTAACTACAGAGGTGTGATAGGCAGTTTAATGTGCAAATTTTGCTAGACTACAATCCACAGCCAAACAATAATATAGGTATTATAGAGATAATTTGTAGATGTGATTAAAATCCATAATCAGTTGACTTTATGTAAAGATTATCCCAGATAATGTGGGTGGGTTCTGACTCATGTGAACTGTCAGGCTAAGCCTGTGCCTACCTTAGGTTTTCTCACCCCCACAGCATCTTCAGTCTTCCCAGGCTGCCACAGCTTCACCAGTTCAATGTCTGTTAAGTACCCACATCCCAATTGCTTCTATCCTTCATGTTCCCAGACTCCTTGAACATGGATATAAATCTTCCTCTCAGTATGTCTAACATGGCCACATCCCATTCATGTTCCTTGCTTATCAGTATACTCTGATCCCATATGTCCACCACCTCCATATTGGTGTTTCAAGAAGAATTCGAACTGGACCACAGTCACCCTGGAGGGTCCTCTCTGCTTCTCTAATGAGGAGCAACAACAGTCTACTCATTGCTCTCCTCACGTCACGTGCCATAAACTTCCACTCCATACTGCTCAGGTTTTCTCTGCTCTAGACTCCTGTCTCTACCCTCCACCTTTGACACAGAAATCTACTTATATTGCAGGAAGAACTCAGTTATCACTTATTCCATGAATTCTTGCCAGATCCTCTATTAACAAATCCCACTGAGCTCTCAAAGAATTGTTTCACCGTGCTATGATACTTAAGACAGGCTTCTGTTTTTGCTTTTCTAGACAGTTGAATCCATCTTCCTCTTAAGAGCAAGATTTTATCTTATTTATTTTATAATCTCATCAACATTTTTCTTATAGTAGACACCCAATGAGTAGTAAACAGAACTGAAATGGTCTGAAATGTGAAAGAAAAAAAAATAGCATTAAGAATAAAATGATAGACTACACCTTCCATCTTTGTTCTTCAAGCATCAGTATCATGCTGGAAATCAAAAGTACTGACTGACCGTATCCAACTAAAGAGTCTGTGGCTGTAAGATTCTGTCTTTTTGTGGGGATCTCATATAATCTAAAGCCAGTAGTTTCTAAACCTGGGTCACAAAAGACTCAATTAGGAAGGTTTTGTTAATTCAGTTACTTTAGTTTTTTGGATACAGATATCAGAGCCCAACATAAGACCTACCAAATCAAAACCTCTAGGAATGTGACTCACAAACCTGTGTTTTCAAAAGCTCTGGGTGTTCCTGAGTCATAGTGCTACTTGGGAAACCTGACCTAAAATATGTTCTTATGAGGATAAGAACTGGTTTGGGAGACAGCGACAATGAAAAAACACAATAAGCCATATTATTCAAAGCAAGAGGTAAGTTTTTTGGAGGGGGATGTTGATCTAGATTTGCCTTATACTTCATCACAGAAAGCTCATTTTATCCTTCCTGATGCATACTGGTCTTCTTATTTCACATATCCTAGAAAAGTGGTTGTCACACTATGTTCCTAGAGGCATCCAGAGGTGCCTTAAG